GCCCGGCCTGGCTCCTGCTGTTGCTTTGTGCTCAGGTCAGCCCCCTCCTTGTAGGAGGAGGCTTATTGGGATGCTGGCCGGGAGCACAGAGCGGCGGCTGCAGCTGTGCCAGGCAGACCCTGCTTCAGTGCTGGCAGCCACTCTGTGCTTGGGGCAAGCCCCTGCTGGGCAGGAGGAGGCTTATTTGGATGCTGGCTGCTGACCACTGGCACTGCATTTGCATTGGGGTCTGCCTAGCACGGCCGCAGCTGCTGCTCTGTGCTCCAAGCCAGCCCCCTCCTGCCTGGAGGGGGCTTATTTAGCCACCGGCTCCAAACAGAGGCCAGCGGCAGTGCCAGCAGCCAGAGGTCTCTGGTTTAACTTAGATCAGCAAGGGGCCTGGGACAGACATTGCATAAACTGGTTTGACCCAAATCATTTAAGTCTAATACTACATTCAGCTAGATTAATCTCAAACTGGTTTCAGCCATTTTCAAAGTGGTTTATGTGCACTGAATGTCTGTTCTATTACAGGTTTAAACTAGTTTTTGATCACTTAAACCAGTTTATGTGTAATGTCTGTCCCTAGCCTTAAAGGCCCTATATGGGCCCCATTCCTTCTGCAGTCTATTTTTTCCTCCTGCAAGGTAGGGTCTTGAGTTCAATAGGAGTTGTTCCTTGTCTTGCATGGGATCAGTTAGGGTGGATGACAACGGTGACTACAAACTTCCTGTTTTGTTCTGTCTGTTCTTCAGGTGGGCTGGTTATGCCTTTCAAAAGGCATATAAATAAATCATTTATTTAAAAGAAATATCCTGAGAATAGAGCCTATCAAACTTATAAATCTGGAGTGATTCTCAAGAATCAGGAGGTGCAGAATTTGAAGTTAGTAGAAAGTTCATCTCTAATGTCTGCTGCATAGTGTGAATTGCATTTATGTCCTGGACTTACTCATTTTTAGGACAGTTTCAAATGTAGTGTAGCTCATAAATGAAAATGTTGGCTTGTCTGGTTTCCCTTGTTCACACCACAAAACTTTTGCATAGGTTGACACATTTTGACAACCACTAGGCTTTATTGAGAGACACTTGGGACTGAAATTGAAAGGATGTAACAGATTGTCAACTAGAATAAAAATGAGCCCATATAAGAATCTTAATAAATAGACATACAGATTAGAAAAAAGAGTTATCACAGTTTTCCTAACAAATTATCAGCTAAAAACAATCTGTTAATTTTGAGAGTGCTGAAATTCCTCAAAGTGTCAGATCCATTGCTTTTCATCATCTAGACCAACATGACATAGAAGTCAACACTTCTGCAGGGCACCTGGAATTAGGGTGAGGAGATCATGGGTGTGGAACCCAAGTGCAAAACTATCTGTATCTTTCATTGTGTGAAAAACTGGAAGTCCATTGTGCTTGATGGAACCTAATGTTTAATGAGGATCCATTTGACTCATCTTGCTCATCATATGCTATTTCCAAGAGAGAGAGACTGGGGACAACCCCATGCAAATTTATTGAACCATCCTTGGGCTTTTATTGTATCTTTGGGCCCTCTCTAGTTTTATTGTTGGGTTTCTAGATTTAAATTCTTCACTAAAATAGCAAAGTTCTAGTAAAAGTGGCAGGATTTATGAATTGTTCAAATTACATATTTCATTTCTGTAGCCAAAATGAACATTTTAAGCTTTAGTGTAGGTAAAGCAAAACTGATCACATTTACACTCCTGTAAATCTGGAGTAACTGTTGATTTCAGTGGAGCTACTAGAGATTTATGGCTATAAGCAAGGTAAGCATCTAGTCCATTCTTCTCCAGAGAAACCTGAGAAAGAAGTGCCTTTTTGTCAAGCTTGGAAATTGCTGGGAAATTTTCTCTCACATTTTTAACAAGCAGGACTAGAATCAGTTGCATTTGTCCCTGTAATGAATGCATGTTATGCACCTTAGGTCTGATGGGAGATACATAGGTCAGGCCCAGGACAATGAAACTAGGTTGCATTAAGTCTTTTGAGATTATTTACTTGTTAAGGTTTTTTTTTTACTGAGATTTAAGGCAGAGTATATTTCACTTTTTGTCCTTGGCACCCACAATTAATTCTTCATGAAGCTGGGGTCTGATATTTTATCAGTAGTATTTGGCTGGGCATCCTTCCATGGGAGTCAATATTTCATCTTCTCTCCAACTGTAAAGATGGACCTAGAACTAAGATTTTGTGCTCAGGCCTTGTGCCACTGCTGCCCTGCAACTTTTGCTACAGAACACGTTCAAACTTAGAGTGGAATGCCCTGTGCACTCAGGGCCAGATCCATGGGTGACTGGTACCTCCTGAGTCAGGGTGGGGCACATGCCCCCAACAGTCAGCAACCGGGGGGTGGGGGGTCCCACTGCAGCTGATCTTGCTGACCTGCAAGTGGCTGCAGTGCACCGGTGACACTTCCAGGTGCGCTGCTACTTCTGGATGAGCATGATTGGCCACAAGGGGAACGCTTCTGGCACCCCCACTTCCTGGGTGGCACTTTCAGGGTGGGCACCAGTGCTCTCACCTGTCCCCCCTGCCCAGGAACACTGGCTGTCAGGGGGTGCATCAGCACTGTCAGGGGATGCACATGTCTCCCCTGGGCACCCCCTACACGTCGCCACTAGGCAGATCCAGAATGGGTGCAATGATGCAGTCATACCTGCCTTTTAGACCATGCCACGGGAACAGCAGCTGAAGACTTTAAGTCCCCAAAGTAGATAAAAACCCTGTTCCGCACTCTTGGCACCCTGTCCCTTCCCCTCTGTGCTCAGTGGTACCTCTCTTCCTTTCCATTCCCCCCACCCCCTAAGCCTGCTGCTGCTGGTGTCCCCTCTGTCCGTGGCTCACCTCGGGATGGGGAGAGCTTCAGAGCTGCTCCTGCCCTGTTCCAGCTGGGCCCTGTGGGGAGTGGAGCTCTGCTGGTGGCAGCAGCACTCAAGTGATTATGAGGGCATGACACTACAAGCCGACACAGAAGCTGTATCTCAAGGTGATAATTAAAGTTGCAGAGGGCAGTGGGGAGTTCACGGGCTGACACAGCAGGCATTTTATTCCTGGTGACTTGTTGGCATTGCTTAAACCCTCTGTTTTGCCATATATAATGTGGGCATATTAATTTTCGGCACCTACCTTGCAGGATTACTGTGAAGTTTAATTCATTAATACTTGCGGAGCCCTGAGAGCTCCCTAGTAGATACTGTGGTAGGTTGGGACATTGTTGTGGTAGTTATTGTAGTTATTATTTAGTTACTTGTTAAAGAATGAGGTTGGTTAACAAAGACCTTATAATGCCCCCTAGTCTTTCGCACAAAGAAATATACTTAGAGTAATGACTCTAATAACTGAACAGTAATGAAAAATAAAAAAGGCATTGCTTCCTTCTGAAAACCACTAGAATTTGCATAAACTACTTTGACTGTCTGGTAAATGCTTATATGCTCAGTCAGTCCCTAGAGAGATTAATATTAGCTTGTTTTTAGTGAAACTTTATAAAAGCGTTGTGTATTTTGGGCCATGTGTATTTTTTAACTTCAAAACAATAATCTCTTCCGCCAGTCAACAGCACACCAAAGTTAGGATAAGACATGAAAAAACATGGCTTACTTTGTTGTTGTGGTTTGAGTGTTCCTTGTTCAGTCTGCTTTAACTATGAATCCGAAATAACGGTTGAAAACCTACCTTGTTTGTAATCAACTGGATTCAGTGAATACAGGGTTTTGTCTGATAAACTATTTCTTACTGTTGTTGTAAATTAGGTATTGGATTTACAGGAGTCAAGATGCCCAGGGCTGCATGAAAAACAAAGCGTGCAGCATATCTAATAGTCATTAATATTTATTGCAATTGTGTCTACAAGTGGTATTTTCATATACGTGACTAAGTTACCTCTTGAATGCAGAACTGTAGAAATGTATGCAAAATGACACTTCTGTTTATTAAACTTGGACTTATAGCCTTTGGAAGTCAGGCCCTTATGTATACTGAATGCTGTTATAATTATGATTATTACAATTATTAATGGACTTTACATAGCTTTCTGAAGTGCTATACACATTAATTTGGACACCACTGAAACAGAGCTTCCTTGAGGCTGTTGTTTTTCTTATGCTTTGTAGAGGCAATCGAGATGGGCTGGGAAGTAATAGTTGGTAACCAGAAAGTAGTGCACTACTTTCCAGAAACCAGAAAGTAGTGCACTGCTAGACAGGGCACTAGCTCTTAGCATTTGTTCAGTGTTTCAGCTAGAGACCATGCTTTCCTAGGTGTGTACAGTGCCTTCAATAATGCACCCCAATCCCTATCTAGTTCCTCAGTATGCATAAAAATTGTAGCAACACATTCTTTTGTGATATAGTGCAATGCTTTGATGATATAGTGCAAGATAGGGCTTTGATGATATAGTGCTATGATGATATAGTGCAAGATGCACGTGTTAAATGAGCTGGTGGATTAAGTCCAGATTTCCACTGTACAGGTATACCTATCATACAGTCCAACACAATGACTAGCTTCTGGGCTATGCCTGTGTTGCACAGTGTAGTGCTGAGCAAAGGTACCCAACCTAGCTGTAAGTATCCCAGAAACAGCATACCTGTGTTATACTGGTGATCCACCCAGGCAGATATGCACTGCTTTGCAACAGGGCTTATTAGCCCTAGGCAAAGTGCTGTCCTAATGTGACTATACTATTTTTTTGGATCCAATCAAATTCTTGGGTATCTATCTCTTACTGCATTATGCCATTTATATATACACTAAATAACACCCTTTTAGCAAAAAAGCCCCAAAAACAAACAAAAAAATTCCCGCCAGGGTTGGATAGGCGGTGATACTAAACTACTTAGACATGGATCCTCAAGAATAAAGTAGAAAGCACATTGCCAAGGTGTCTCGAGAAAGGCATATGTCATCCCCTGCCCAGGAAATACCTGTTCTGTGGATACAAGTGTTTAGTCTTCAAGGATGACAAACCAGGACCTGTCACCTAAATAAAGCTGGAATAACTGTGTCTTTGATCTGGCTAATGACCTTTCATGGGTAAACTCCTGTGCTAGTTTAGAGTCCTATTGAAGGGTTCAGGAGCATCAGAAAGAACAAACTCTTGGCGTTGTAATGCTAACCCGCCTTGTGAAAGTTAGAGAACTTGTTTTTGTAGTCTAAAAATAAAACCCAAACAAATCCTCAAACTCCCTAAACTCCAATTTGTTTTCTTCCTGTAGAAAAAAAAGAAGTCTTAAAGTCACACTGTTTACAGCTTTCCTTTTTTATTGCAGATGAAGCCTGTCACAACTGATATGCCTGTTTGACTGTCAGGGTTGTGAACATGGAAAAGCAACCATTAAACAGCATCCTTGATCAGTTTATCAATAGCCATGAGCAGACATATGAAGAGTTTCTAGGCACGTTCACTTATCTTTTGAAAGGTATGTCAACTTCCAGAATCTCGCAGAACAAATTCAGTTCGCAAAGTGAAATCTTTTTCAAGTATAAAGAGAGATAACCTTGTCCACTGGGTAGGATACTGACCAGCAAGCTCAGAGACATGGGTTCTCTTTCTAGTACCACCTTAACCTCTGCATACCCTTGAGTGGGTCATTTCAGTTCTCTTCACTTTCATTTTCCCTGCTGCTTTTTCTTGGGTTGCCTATTTAGATTATAACATCTTTGGGGGCGGAAACTGGCAGTTACTATGTGTATGTACAGTACCTAGGACAGTGAGTACTTAGACTTGACTAGGGCCTCCACATCTGGAATGATAATAGGTTAGGTCGGTGGGTGTTTGGTTGTTTTTTTTCCCTGTTTCTTTAATGATATGGTACTTCGAGAAACCTGGTGGTTGTCTCATTTTGTTGTTTGAGCTAATGATCACCTTTGAAATCCACAGCATCACCATCATTAACCACTTTAAATAGATTGTTAGGGCCTGAACATAATGCTAGATGTCCATTATGTAAGAAGTCAGGAATCTTTCTTGGACCTGCATTTCATTGTGGTTTAGGAATGTAGAAGACACTGAGCCAGAATTTTTCTACTTTGAGCAACTTCAGGTAATCATTATTCAGCTGACAATATAGATTTTGTCCCTCCTATATTTCAGAATTTTTGGCTGCAGTGCCTCTCACTGAAATCAAGTGAAATCAAGTTGATTAGATCAGAACCTCAGGAATTATATTCATTAAAAATTAATCCTTTTATTTTGAAGACATGCAGTAATACAAGATGGCCTGTGGCTTATGGTTGTGTGAACACTGATTTTATGAACACTGATTACACGTATTGTCCAAGCTATGATATTTACTAACTTGGTCCTCTGAGTAACTTGGGTCAGTGAGGGATGAGTTTGGTCAAAACAGAAGACCTTAGACTGAATGAGGATTTTAAGTTTTTTTCTTAAGATTTCCATGGTTTCTAAATTCAGTGAGCATTAGTGCAACTTAAACAGCCGCCAAGATTTGAATAGGGAAGTTCAGCTCTGGGTGCAAAATATGTAGCTCAGACTCATCTCTAATGAGCACAGACCTAGGGATTCTTTAAATCAGTTTTATAAAATGAATATGTCAGTTTGATATTGCTAAATTACATTGCTTGCAACCGCAGTTGTCTATTAAGAGTGATATCCCTATATTATTCCAGAAGTAATGTATTTTCCAATTACACCATGTGGCATGATCCATTGATTGGCACTCAGTACCCTGCTCTGTCCTTGTCCTTCAGGCAGAACTGAGTGTCAGTCACAGGCATTGAAGCAGAAAACCAGTCAGGGGGAGTGGAAACTGCTCGTGTGGCAGGCTTCCTTTCCCAGACCCAGAAAACCAAAGGAGAAATTCAGACATTGGAAAATAAGATTAGGTAATTAAAAATTTGCTTCTGGTACAAACCCTTCTACTTTGTGTCGAGCTTGTTTAACTGAGGAGAACTGAGACCTCAAGTACAGGGAACAGATCACCTTGCAAAAAGCTACAGGATGTATCTCTGTTACATTGATACTCAGTACAGCATCTGCCTCCAAATATATGCATATAAAATATAACTGGAGTTCCAGCTGCAATACATGATTGTACCAGCACAGGAAACTGCATTTCTAAACAAAATAACTTGGGTTGCTTTTTTTTCCCCCTTTCAAAATACCCAAAGGCACTGGTTCACATTATAAACTAATGACCTGCAAAAATTCCACTTAAAGCACAAAGCCTTTCAGGGCTGGAACAGTGCGAAATGCATTTTAAACTATCACATTCCTATTTTCTTTATTTTGCACTCACATATCTTGAAAAATATTCATTCAGATTTTAATGAAAATAATTTAAAAGGAAAATGGGGTGGTTCGGGCTGTATCTGATACTAGGGCACAGCTTGTTCACTTTCAGGTCATGAGTTCAAATCCTAACTATTACCAGATGTTAAAAAATGACCCGTGATATTTGCAAGATTAAATTTGAATGCACAGTTTCTATGATTATATCTTTGGAGACCAGGCACTGCAGTATTAAGCACTGTGCTCAGACATTTTCAGACATGTAATAACCACATGCATGCATAAATATCCAATATGGCTATGCCCTTGTGTGTGCAAAGGTATACACACTTCTATATGATGATTTCTGCATGAGGACTTAGTACTTTGTTTAAATAATGATTTTCCTTGAAAGTTACTGCTATCTAAAGGCTCTTTGTTGGTCATATGGTTAGAAAAACAGGATAGAAAGAAACCCCAAAAGCTTCTTAGAGTGTTCAGTGTGTTGAGGATGAGAGCTACCCTGAAATATTGTATTATATTTATATTTATGTTGACATTCTCCTATTGACAGTGTTTTAAACCTCTGTTCCTTTTAAGTTTAGGAAGCTGAATATTAATGGAATTTAGCACTTCTTATCTTCTTTGGCTATATTAAAAGTATTTGTTTCCAAGAAAGAAAAAAGAATACCGATTTTGTAATATTGTCTGTGTTTTACATTACCCTCTGCCATGGTCTACAGAAGTGGATAGAGATTCTATTATTATTATTATTATTATTATTATTATTATTATTATACTCCAAGTTAAAAGTCTTCTAGTAGCTTAATTAGGCTAAATTTTAGAATGGAAAGACTAGGATCCTATAGCTTTGTATGGTTTATCTAGCAATAATTCTGTTCTAAGTGTCCCATGAAACCCTTGCTAGGGGAAAAAAAATAAAATGTATCTTTAGTACAGGCAATTCATCTTCCTGATTTGGGAAATACCAAGTGTAATCATCCTGAATCCAGAGTCTACAGGTGTTTATACATGTGCTCTGGGAGTGAGGGGTGGGGGTGGACTTTAATTAGAGTGGCTCTGAGAGTCACTGTGATTAAAGTGCCCAGAGCTTCACATCTATCAGTTTTCTTGTGCTGGAAAATGGTGGTGGGGGTGCTTTAGCTAAAGCTTGTCAAACGAGCTTTAGTTAAAGCACCCATGGCACCATTTTTCAGTGTGGGGATGCTGATACACGTGATGCTGGAGTCTGCTGGAGCACAGTATTTACCACGCTCCAGCAGACTTGATTAATTAATTACAGCACATTGGAGCAGCTTCGCTGCACATGTATAGGTGCTGTATAACACTAAAATAGACTTGCTGCTTGTGGGAGAATGAGAGTTCAAAAACCAATTGACTAGCACAACTAACTTCTATTAAAACTTACGATGGTGGTAAGTAGATGGTTCAAATTTATTAAACATCACTTCAGAAAGAGTAAACTCAGCGTTTTAAACATCTGCAGTCCTGCAAAATGACTCAGATTTTGGATATATCATCTTTCAGAAATTCACAATATGTGGCAGTACTCCATGCATAATTGGTGGAAATGTTAATAATTTTTATTGATCTTTTTAAATAAGTGGGCAGTTGAGATTAGCCTTCAAGGTGTCCTTGAATCTCTTCTTTTGCCTACCTCTAGAGCAGTGACCATTGGGGGAGTGTAGGACTTGTTTAGGGAGCTGGTTGTCAGGCATCCTTATGACATGTCCTGTCTAATAGAACTGGTGCCATATAAACATGGCTTCATTACTAGCCAGAATTCTGTCTTCTGCTCTTCTAATTGATATGGAGGATTTTCCTAAGATATTACTGATGACAACATTTCATAGAATCATAGAAGTAGGGTCGGAAGGGACCT